TAATAAAAAAACGAATAATAATTGTAATCGGTCTGATAAATTATGCAAATATTGTAATTTTATGCACGGTAAAGGCAAATGCCCTGCGTATGGTAAAAAATGTTTAAAATGTAACAAATTTAATCATTTTCAAAATGTTTGTAAATCTGAGATTGCATTTGTTGAAAACGTTGATGGGCTGAGTATTGATAATTATTTTTGTTCTACGGTATATACAATGAATACTTTTGCTGTTTCCTGGTCTGAGACTATTCTCGTTGAAAATAAAAGTATTAATTTTAAGCTAGATACTGGCTCTGATGTTAATCTACTGACTTTAAATGATTTTAACTTAATTAAAAATAATTGTTCTTTTAAAAATTTAGTAGTTAACAGACGACCGATAAATTTACAGGCATATGGCGGTAGTAATATTAATACATACTTTACAGTTGATTTAAAAGTAAAATTAAGAGAAAAAGAATATATTTTAAATTTTGTAATTGTTGAAAATCATTGCAAGCCGATTTTAGGTCTACATAGCTGTATACAGTTAGGGCTAATAAATAAAGTAGAAAATGTTGATAAGATATTAAGTCTTAATGATGTACTTCAGAACTATTGCACGGTTTTTACAGGTCTTGGTAACTTTCCTGACGAATATAGCATACAATTAAAGCCCAATGCAATACCTGTTACAAATGTTCCACATAGAGTTCCTATTAATATCCAAGATAAGCTGAAATGTGAACTAGATCGATTAGTCTCAGAAAAAATAATTAGAGAAATAAATGAGCCGACCGAGTGGGTAAACAGATTAGTAATTGTTGAAAAGAAAAATGGAAGTATGAGATTATGTCTAGATCCACGCGATCTAAATGAAAATATAATTCGTGAATATTGTGTAATACCTACGTTATCAGATTTATCGTCAAAACTGAAAAATGCAAGGGTTTTTTCTGTTTTTGATTTGAAAGATGGTTTTTGGCAAATAAAATTAGATTTAGAAAGTTCTAAATTATGCACGTTTGGTACTATGTTTGGTACTTTTTGTTTCAATAGACTTCCCTTTGGAATAAATAATGCAGCTGAAATATGTCAAAAATGGAATATGAAAGTGTTCGGAGGTATTGAAAATGTGTTCATATATCTTGATGATATTTTAGTTTTTGGTGACACTGAGGCTCAACATGATTGTGCATTAAAACAGGTTTTAGATTTGGCTATGAAAAATAATATTAAATTTAATAAAAACAAAATTCAATATAAGGTAGATAAAGTTAATTACCTTGGCCATACATTTTCATATGAAGGCATGAAACCAGATAGTGATCGTATTAAATCTATTTTCGAGTGCGAAGTACCAAAAACTATAAAAGATTTGCAAAGGTTTTTAGGTATGGTTAATTATGTCGGAAATTTTATTCCTAACCTGGCAATGTTGACTAAGCCACTAAGAGATCTTCTTAAAAAAAATAATGAGTTTGTATGGACATCAATACATAATGAGTCTGTAAATAAACTTAAAACATTAATTGCTAGTCCCTCCGTACTTAGAAACTATGATAACACAAAAGACGTGATCATACAGACTGATAGTAGTAAGTTTGCCATTGGATGTGTTTTGTTACAAGAAGGCAGACCAGTTTGTTTTAAATCGAAAAGCTTATCTGAAACCGAAATTAACTACGGACAGGTTGATAAGGAATTTCTGTCAGTCTTATTTGCCTGTAAGGTATTTCATCATTATATTTATGGTAGGCACGTGACAGTTCAAACCGATCACCTTCCTTTAATTTCGCTAATGAAAAAGAACATAAATGACATTCCGTCTAAAAGGCTTCAATGCATTAAGGTCAAATTATCACGATATGATATTAATCTTATCCATGTACCGGGAAAAAAAATGTTTATCGCAGATGCATTAAGTCGTGCGTGTATATCGTCTCGAGATAACGACGACGTTGATATCGATGTTTCCGATGTAGTTCATTCAATTAATATGTCTACAAATATTCGAAATGAGTTTGTACAAGAAACAATTAAAGATGATTTATTAAAACAATTAGTATATGTGTGCAAGAATGGCTGGCCTAAGCATAACAATAAAGTCTCACGTGAGCTTAAACCATACTTTAATATGCGTTACCAAATATCATTTGAAGACGATTTACTTTTTCTTAATAATCGTGTGTTTGTCCCTATGAAGTTACAGAATAAAATTGTATTTAAACTACACGAAACTCATCTTGGAATTTGTAAGACTAAAACGAGAGCACGTTCCTTATTTTATTGGAAAGGTTTAGATAAAGATATCGAGGAATATATTGGTAATTGTGCAGTATGTAATAAGTTTAGGAGTGAGAATATTAAAGACCCTATGATTTGTCAAGAAGTTCCTAATCTACCTTTTGAGAAAGTTGCGTGTGATATTTTGGATTATGGGAAAGATACTTACCTAGTATTAGTTGATTACTATTCTGGTTGGCTTGAGTTAAATTATTTATCTTCTAAAACTTCAAGTCATATAATTAAAATACTAAAAGTTATTTTTTCGATACATGGGATTCCAAAGCAACTCGTGGCAGATAATATGCCATTTAATTCTAATGAATTTCAGAATTTTGCGACTGATTGGGAATTTGTTATAACTACGTCAAGCCCTAGATACCCAAAATCTAACGGACTTGCGGAGAAAGGTGTAAGTATTGCGAAATCAATACTTAAAAGATCGGATGAAGGTAAAGTTGATAAACAATTAATGTTGTTAGAATATCGAAACAGTGCTATCATTGGCTCTAAGTTTTCCCCAGCACAACTTTTAATGAGTCGCACTTTAAGATCGAAAATTCCAATCTTAAACAATGCTCTACAGCCTACGTTAGTAAATAATTTTAAATTAATACGTGAAAATAAAAATGTGAAAACAAAACTATATTATGATAAAAATGCCAAAGTTAAAAATAATAATAAGTTTCAACCGGGCCAAAAAATTATGTTTAGAGATTTATTAACTAAAACTTGGAAGCCAGGTAAAATCATCAATAAATACAATACGCCCAGATCATATGTTTTTAGTGATGACACAGGTAATAATAAACGAAGAAATATTGTACATTTAAGGCCTGCCGGTAAACAGCTCAGGTATAATTTGTACAAAGATAATAATATTGTTTCGAAGCCTAGTTGGATACGTAAGCGACGTGTTGTACCTCCAACTAAGCTTAATTTATAATTTGTATTATGTATTATTTCACATTTGTAAGCTTAATTTATAATTTGTATTATGTATTATTTCACATTTGTAAGCTTAATTTATAATTTGTATTATGTATTATTTCACATTTGTAAGCTTAATTTATAATTTGTATTATGTATTATTTCACTTTTGTAAACTTAATCTATAGGTAATCTGTTTTGTTTATATATAAAAAGGGAGATGTTACATAGCTAATAGCTATGATACCTACCTACCTGCTATCTACAATAACGGTTACGTAATTATCATGGCTTAAATATACAAGGTTATTGCAGTAGTACCCCCACTAAATCGTTTTATCTTGTTAAGAAATTAAAATGGCAGCGTAAGGGGCGATGTTTTAATTGGCTGTATATTATATGAATATATACATTATACATTATATAATTAAGTGATAACAATAATTGATAAAGAATCGTGACCCTTACGCTGCCATTTTATTTTATTTGATAACAATAATGGCTATGTGCAATAACCTTGTATATTTAAGCCATGGTAATTATGATGTATTATCGCGTGTATCGCTATCGGTATTTTAGACACAATAAAATCAGTATGCTTTTGGCACTCGAGTTCAGTACACATATTTTCACCTACACTCCTTATGAGATGCAACCACGGACTAAGATAAACAGGACTGGAAACGATAGACGGGAGGAGTGCGGGTAGCCGGAACCATAGTGTAACGCTTGTAGTACATGGACAAATGTGGCTCTATCTATTGATAATATTTAGCATTTGTTACCTATATATTTATTTGCATATTATTTCTGTTTATAATAAAATTAGGTACAATAGTTTAATACATTTATACCACGGACTAAGATAAACTAAGATAACTCTATTGTGACTCTATCTTAGTCCGTGATTTATACGCACCTATTAGCTCTTAGCAGTGGCGTATTTTCAAATTTTTTGTGGGGGGGGGTTACATTTTACCTACTATATTATCCATTTATTATTCGCTAAAATGCCGAGAAAATGCTCTGTGGATGGCTGTACGGGATGTTCAGAGAGAAAAAAAATACACTTTATTTAAAAGTTCAAAAGATGTGGTTAATTTAACTGCTTGGAATGAAGCAATTTCAAATGCCAATATCTTAATTCGTGCTGGACACTGATGTATTAATATTTCGTAGAACGGATCATAGATGGCGTTAAAATCGCACTTGTACCAGAAGCGTTACACTGTAGTTCCATAGATGACTATCTCGTTTCCAGTCCTGTTTATCTTAGTCCGTGGATGCAACACCCATAATATAATAGATTATGATAAGAATGTAAAAAAAAAAATACTCTCAACTCTCAAGTTTCAATAATATGTAATTTTATTGCATGTAGGATGTAGGTAACATAATATTATGTACCAATTTATTATAAACATTATATTTTCAATGTAGAAGACAAAACCATTTAAATATTAATACCAACAGTCAACAGACAACAATTTAATATGATACCTAGGTAATCATAGTATACATATAGATATTAATGCATTACATATTATTATTATTACAATAAAAAAAAAATTAAATACTGTGATAAAGTAATATTGTTATCTTATCTATTATATTCCTATTTATTATATCTTAACTATATTCTTTATCTGTTTCATAATAATATTATAAGTTGCAATGTCATGTAGTTTATTGTGTAATAATGTAATAATGTGCACCACGTTTTTGTTTAATAAAGCCTTAAGTATTAAAGGTCTAGAATACTATTTCACAACAATTTATTAAACAAAAACTTATTAATCAATATGGAAAAACTGCTGAGACCCGATCGTTTTGAAGCAGACCAAAATTCACCCACAGCAGCCAAGGAGTGGTCTCATTGGAAGAAATTGTTCCAAAATTATATTGCAGAGGCCAAACTAAAAGAGGAGGATAAATTAAAGGTACTCATTAACTTTTTAAGCCACTCAGTGTATGACCATATAAGCGACTGTAAAGATTTCAGTGATGCTATTAAAATTCTAGATGGTATTTATATAAAGCCTAAAAATGAAATATTTGCCAGACATCTATTAGCCACAAAGAAACAACTGACAAGTGAATCTATTGACCAATACTTGCAGTCTCTAAAGATTTTAGCTAAGGAATGTACATTTAAAGCCGTTAGTCCCTCACAGTATAAGGATGAGTACATAAGAGACGCATTCATTAATGGTATCATGTCTAATAGCATCCGTCAACGTCTGTTAGAAAACGACGAACTAAGTCTAGAACGAGCAGTGATGCAGTCACGAGCGCTAGAGATGGCACAAAAGCAGTCTGAAGCCTACTCTATGCCTGTAGAATCTATAAATCATGTAAATACCGAAGCAGAAGACGAACAATCTGAATCAATGATCGCAGCCATCCGACAAAAATGTTTTTTTTGCGGGTATGACCGGCATCCGCGTAGCTCTTGTCCAGCTAGGGAAGCTGTGTGTAGGAATTGTGACAAAAAAGGTCATTTCTCCAAAGTTTGCAAATTAAAGAAAACTCAAAACTCAAATAAGTCTAATACAACTACTTCGGCTTTTATTGCAAATCTAGCCTGCATCTCTGCAAACTTACCGGGTGCTCTATCAAAAACAGTTATTAAAGTTAGAGTCAATGATATGGAAGCAAATGGTCTAGTGGATACTGGAGGTTCAAGTAGCTTCATAGATGATGAATTTGTCCAGTATCATAAAATAAAGGTATTTCCTAAGAAGGGACAGGTAGTTTTAGCATCTGCAGAGCATTCATCACACTTAAAAGGGTTTGTTTGCGTAGACTTATCATTGCAAGGGCACGTGTATAAAGATGTCAAATTATCAGTACTGTCAAAATTATGCACTGATGTTCTCATAGGTCATGATATATTACAGAAACACTCTAAAGTAGAAGTTACCTTTGGCGGGCCTAAATCCCCTTTATTAATCTGTAATATGTCTTCAACAGCAATAGAACCAAATGTAATAAAACCCATGCCCTCATTTGTAATAGAACCTCCTCGCCTTTTCAAGAACCTAGCTTCCAACTGCAAACCTATAGCTGTCAAATTACGCCAATATTCTGAGGAGGACTATACATTTATCAAGGATGAAATAATTAAATTATTAAATGAAAATAAATGTCAGTATTCTATGCAAACAATTACACTTCTTGGACACCAGATCACGAATAAAAGTGTAAGTCCAGACCCAGATCGATTGAAGCCTCTTTTGAATCTACCTCCACCCAAGGACGCCAAATCATTAAAGAGGGTTTTAGGTATGTTTTCTCATTATTCAAAGTGGGTTAGAAAATTCTCAGACAAAATCCATAATCTAATACTTTGTAAGTCATTCCCTATGTCATCATCTGCAATTGCTGATTTTGAAAGTATCAAGCTAGACATTGCCAATTCAGTAATAAGTTCTATCAGTGGTGATGAGCCCTTAGTAGTTGAGAGCGATGCCTCAAACCATGCGTTAGCAGCAACACTTAGTCAGAATGGGCGCCCTATAGCATTTTTCTCAAGAAGTCTCTCGAATTGTGAAAAGAAACACCCATCTATAGAAAAAGAAGCTTATGCAATTGTAGAGGCATTAAGGAAATGGAGACATTTTTTAATAGGGAGGCAGTTCAAACTTATAACGGATCAAGAAGCCGTATCTTTTATGTTTAACTTGAAACATTCAAGTAAAATTAAAAATGATAAAATTATTAGATGGAGACTTGAGCTTTCTTGTTTTAGTTTTGACATACAATATCGCCCAGGAAAGGAAAACACTGTGGCTGACACTTTCTCAAGAGTATGCGCTGTTGTAAATAACTCTAACATGTTATCTGATTTACACAAATCTCTATGTCATCCAGGTGTTACTAGAATGTTCCACTGGATCAAGAGTAAGAATCTACCATTTTCGATTGAAGATATAAAGAAGTTGACCAGTAGCTGTAATGTATGTGCAGAAGTAAAACCAAGGTTCTACAAAAAACAAGAAGGTCATCTTATAAAAGCTACTTCACCATTCGAGCGATTGAATATTGATTTCAAGGGACCGATACCATCTAAGACTGGAAATAATTATATCCTTACAATCGTAGACGAGTTTTCTCGCTTTCCTTTTGCCATACCATGCAGGGATCTGAGCTCAGCCACAGTGATAAAGTGTCTGTCCTACCTATTTTCTATATTTGGTATGCCAGCATATATTCATTCAGATCGAGGAGCAGCTTTTCTCTCTCAAGAGCTCACAACTTTCCTGTGTACCCGAGGCATTGCCACTAGCCGTACAACGCCCTATAATCCCGCAGGGAATGGTCAGGTCGAACGGTATAACGGAATTATCTGGAAGACTGTCCAGTTGGCTATAAAAACAAGAGGATTGAAATTAGAACAGTGGGAAGCTGTAATAGCTGATGCCTTACATTCCATTCGGTCTTTGCTATGTACTGCTACCAATTGTACACCACACGAACGATTTTTCGCTCATCCTCGGCGCTCTTCAAATGGTGGAACACTTCCGTCATGGCTCAGCTGCCCCGGGAAAGTCTTCATAAAGAAACATGTACGTGCTTCGAAGTACGAGCCATTAGTGGAAGAAGTGGATTTAGTCGAAGTAAATCCTGAATACGCTTTAGTACGCTATGAAAATGGTAGAGAGTCAAATGTTTCGTTAAGAGATCTAGCACCTGTGGGTGACAGAACATTATATGAAGAACCTTCAGACAGAATAGATCCAAAAACAACACTTCAAGACACTCCAACCACAAGTGAGCCAAAGGAAGAGATGATTCAAACAGATGCTAGTACAGAAGGAACATCAAATGAACTTGATGGACCTCGGAGAACCACCAGAAATAAATCAACCCCTAAATACTTAAAAGACTATGTCACTAATTAATAATTAGTATTTTCTATGCTAGGGAGAATGTGATAAAGTAATATTGTTATCTTATCTATTATATTCCTATTTATTATATCTTAACTATATTCTTTATCTGTTTCATAATAATATTATAAGTTGCAATGTCATGTAGTTTATTGTGTAATAATGTAATAATGTGCACCACGTTTTTGTTTAATAAAGCCTTAAGTATTAAAGGTCTAGAATACTATTTCACAACAAATACTAATATACAAATATAAAAAGTTTAGATATTTAAGTAAGTAATAACTAATAGGTACCTACTTACCTAATTTTAATATCAGAATATTAATATAAATTATGCTTTTTATTTATTTTCACGTGTTTATTTCATGGCATAATGTTATCATAATTGCTAAGTTATTACCTACCTACACTAACACAAAAACATTTATGTTTTAAATTTTTTTCATTTACACAATATATATCTGATATTTCATCAGTTTTAATTTTTTACATGCCAATAATTAAGGAAGAAATAACATTTCCATTGCAATATTCTATACAATTTAGGTATTTTTTTAACAAAACATTTTATAGAATTGTCATTAGACTTTACAATATTAACTATTGAGACTAATGCGTTAACATGAAGTATTTACCCTTTTCTTTTAATGTATCTATAGTTGTATTTGTTCTTATTAAACTATATTTTCTATAAACTGTATCAGATAATTCTAAAACTGATAGTGAATGTTGATGGATTTCTTTGCTTAAATGGGGCAATTGGGGTAGAGATCGAACTTAGAGTTATAAGTTTTTTGCTTTTCTACAATTCTATTTAATATTTCCTGTAATGGATATTTTGTAGGCCTTTAAAGATTTCTTTATATATTGTTGGTAATTCTCATACCTAAATGCACCGAAACTATCAAGTGGTCCATGTGTCATTGAAAACATAGGTAGGTGTATCAAACTATGAACATTTTAAGATATTAAATGTTGACCATATAAGGTAGCATAATTAGTAACAAATTTTTTCAATAATTGAGAAGCTATATCATTGAGAGTCTGACAAGTTTCAACACATGCTAAAATACCAACAGCAAATACTAAAAGCATAAAATGATTATAAAAACTATAAAAAGCTTTCTTTAATTTACCTTGCAAGACAATTGCACCAGTGTACATGACAACATTTCTCAATTCTGTTGCTTTAAAATACTCAATTTCATTAATAGACCTTGGCAACTGAACAAATTCAGAAGGCATGTATGCTCTTAATTTTATTAATTCATTGTTTATTTGTCAGCTAATCTAATGTCTTTTTTGCCCCTAACCCAAAATTCTACCAATCTTTTTGTTACTCCAAGGCAAACATTATGCACAGTGGCGTAGCCAGGGGGGGTTTGGGTGTTCAAACACCCCCCATTGACATTTTCCTCCCTCATAAAAATATTGTTTATAGGGTTTGAGACTGCTCGCATTATTTTAGAGAAGTTATAAATTTGTCTTATGAAATATTTTAAATGTTTGAATTTGCATATTTTAGGAAAAGTGTACATTTGAGCGATTTTTCGCATATTTATGCATATTTTGCATTTTTCTAACTTAAATGTAGGTACATACAATTGTCGGGAAAAATCATATTTGGATAACATTGAAAAATATCTTTAAAAATATTATGTTTGGTTAGGTACAATAGGTTAGTTTAATAGGTTAATTTTGAGATTTGGGGAGACCGAAGCCTAAAACCATACTATTATAAAATTGAATTAAAAAAATTTAGTAAATGATTGGGAGGGCTGTTATAGTGGTTGGTGGAGCTTGGCTATACGGTTTGCCCTATTTTCGCATAATTATGGTATGTAAAATTGTATAAGTCTCTTTGTGACAAGACTGTGTTAAAACTATAATTGACATCTACATTCTAAATTGTACGAAGAAATGAAAATTAGTAGATACGTGTTCGTTTATCACGTTATTCGTTATTACATATTTATTAACCTAGTATTTTATGCCAGTATTTTTAAAAATCAAGTTGTTTTACTCCATAATAGTTTAAAAATGTCCAAAACATGCAATAGTGTAATCCGTCCATCACATTAATCAATATAGGTACCTACCTATATTAAAATTAATAAACCCATGTATAAATTATTTATGTTTATATACTTAATTATTTTTTAGTTTTTTATTACCAAAATTGTAGTATGTTTTATGAATTTTTCAAAAATAATATAAAAATGTAGCTGTATATATTTAAGAATATTTTGACAACTTTGACTGCATCATAATATTTAGTGCAACAAGTCAAGTCCAGAACCCTAAATTTATTTATATACAGGGGCGTAGCGAAGCCATATTTTTAGGGGGGGGGGAACTAAGTCCATTTGGCCGACTGACCATTAAAAAAAAAAAGTTCATTCATGTATAATATATGTTTTATTTTTTTATTTTTACAATATTGTCAATGTTCTTACTTTAACATTAAAAGTTAAAACTGTTAAAACTTATAATTAAGTACTATAATACAATTGAGTTTTGGAGGATGAACTTACAACAATTAATAAAGCAATTGATATTAAAAGTTATTAAATACAAATCCTTCTTTTTTTTAAAATTGACCATTGTTTAGCAATAAGATCTAACTTAATATCGTCTACTATGTCCTTTTCCGAGGAAAGTAACAGTAAATCGCTTAAACGGGAGTCACTCTGGGTTGTTCTTAAGTAATTCTTTATCAATTTCAACTTGCTAAACGAACGCTCATTTCCAGCAACAGTTACTGGAGCTGTACACAGTAAACGACACATTCTATTGGCTATAGGAAGCATTTTCTTTGTTTGTTCCGAAACAGTTTCCACTTCTTTGCATTGGTCATAAAGTACCTCTAACTCAACCTGTAGATGTAACGGGTCTACAACAAATTGTTTAGGTAAAAATGACATTGCATCTTGAATTCCAGTTTCACTTAAGTTATTCCTTGATACAGGGGGATTGAACATATTATATAATGGTTTAATTGTACCAATGCAACTTTCTAAATTATTTTTCATCAGTGACGTGAGCTCGTCCAACACAGATTTATATTCTTTCCTATAAAATGTTTTAAATGATATATTATCCGCATTATCTCTATTATTATCAAGGCGCTTAGGTACAAGTCGGCGTCTATGCCGAACTAAAAACTCTTTTTCAGCATCCACATCAAAAGACTTCAAAAACGCAATTGAACTATTTATAAGATTATCCATACCATCTATGTCAGAATTAATAATGTTCAACGATTCTAGAGTACTTGACATAAATATGATTGCATCAGCGATGTTAAGTTCAGTTGATTCGAGACACTCAGTTAATAACTTCATCTTATACATAACATTTTTCATAAATAGAATACTTACAACAAAGTCTACAGAAATTAATCGTTTTGATAAAGAATATGCTGCATTTCTGGTGGATTTATCAAATTTGTCCTTGGTATTTGTTATCTCATCTAAAACTTCGATAATTACATTAAATGGTGACCAAACAGACTTAATTGCTTCAGCACGCGCTGTCCATCTTGTCTTCGACAAATTTCGTAGTTTCAATGCAATTTCAATATCAACTAGTTTGTTCAATAATGGTGAATATCGTTTTGTACTCGAAGAAAAAAATACATAGTTCTTGCATTACTGAAAACATATCGGATATAATAATACTAGCTTCACATCCATGTTCAATGAATGTGTTTATTCTATGAGCCTGACATGGAATGTAAGGTATTTTTCTACCTAATATTTCAGTTAATTTTTGTTGTGCGCCATTAAATACTCCAGACATACTGCTGGCAAAATCATACGACTGAAAAACAAGATTATCAGGATCCAACTCATTCTTTTGCAAAGTGTCTAATATATTATTTGCCATTCCTACGCCAGTCTTATTTAAGGATTCACGGACTTCTATTAATCTTTCTTCTGCTGTACCTTCATTATTGACGAACCTTACAACTACTGATAGCCTATCTGTATGTGACAAATCAGGTGTTGTATCGGCCATTACAGAAAACTGACCGGATTCCTTAACTTTAGCTCTAATAATTTTATTGACTGATGACCCAAGGATAGTTATGAACTCGTTTTGAGATTGGGGACTCAAATAAAATAAATGAAAAACACAATTGTCACTTTTTGTCAGTTGATAAAGAATATTTACAATAATAACAAATTCTAAAAATACTGGGATTGACCAGCGTCCAGTAGGACTACGGGTGACTATTATAATTTAGCGGCGCGCGGCGCGTATTGGTATTACATATATTATGAGTTTATGACATACGGACCATGCGGTATACAAAACAATAATAATAAAGATAACAATTCAAAATAGTCGTAATGAAATACGTCAAATACGATAATATTACATATTACTATGTTTATTTTACTTTACTTTACTTAATGCTATTTTTCGATGATCTGTATTTATTATATGTATATAATATTATGTCTATCGTAATTTGTCATATGGACATGTAAAACACGTACAATTTGAATTATAAAATCAACTTTTTTTGTTTAATTTCTTTACATCGATTTGGCCGACTATAATATTAAAAAAGTCCAAATGGCCGACTGTGGTAAGTTTAGGGGGGCAAGATGCCCCCCCTGCCCCCCCTTTAGTTTCGCCCCTGTTTATATACGAAAACTGTAAAACTTGGTTTTAATCTATATTTAAACACCCCCCATTTCATAATCCTGGCTACGCCACTGATTATGCATATAGTCAAGGCATACTACTTCAGTTATATTAATTGGTAAATTCAGTAATGGACTATTCCCTTTATGATAGTCATCATCAAATTGTTTGCGAAAAGATTCATCAGTTCTTAATTTTGACTTCGTTCTAAGAAAAGATACACGGTTTTGTCAATAGGTTCCTTCCTCTACACATGATGTGCACGGTGCACCTAAAATAAGCATTATGACTCTTTACATTTAAAAGAAAGGATTTTGCAGGGACATCACAAACTATATTTGATATCTCTACATATTAATTGTCTTTTTTGAATCGTTTTCCATCACATCACTAAGCTGTTGTTGTATTGTTACAGCAACCTGTTTCAGATGTCTTGAAACGTCAACGTTTCTAGGATGTTAGTATGTAAACTTAAAATATTTGTAAAACTAAACCATTTACACAATGTTTTGGTAACTTCGAGGTGTGATGTTAGCATTGAAACTTATATCATACGTCGCAACAATGTTTTGTAACCTAAAATGCACAGTGGGATACACAATAAAATCTAAACTATAAAAGTTAATTTTATTTTTATTTATGAAGATTAGTATTTCGAAAAAAAAAATTTACAATCTGTCAATCTACAGTTACAATTAATATGTATACATTATACAATTTACTAATTTTAATAGAGTAGCTAATGCCTAATACTCGTTATCTGCTTATAGGTAAAAAAGCCTTCTGGATATATTATTTTCATTGATATGAAACATTGGAGGAGTATGTAATAGGTCCATTAACATAAACTGAAGACAATATTAAAAGGTTTTGATAACGAATTAGAAAATATCCGTAGCTTTTTGGTAAGATTTCTAAAATGCTGTAACAAATTTAGTTTTTCCAGTAAGTTACGATTTATCATTAAATGTTTATTGAGCTTTGGGTAATAACGGTATATAAATAGTAATGAATTTAAAAACATTTTTTATGTAATCTCTCAGTATGAGATTTAAGATTAGAATTTTTTATAATCTTTTTTCACTCTGATCGCACTCGAATGGTTTTTTGTTTGTGTGCAATCTAGAATGTTTAACCAAATGTCCTTGCTGCAAAAATGATCGGCTACAAACGTTGCACGCATATGGTTTCTCCCCGGTGTGCGTTCTTCTATGTATAACCAAATTTCCTTTTTGCGAAAATAATTGGTCACAAATGCTGCAAGAATATGGCTTCTCCCCAGTGTGCGTTCTTATATGTGTAACCAAACTTCCTTTTTGAGGAAATGCTTGGTCACAAACGTTGCAAGCATATGGTTTCTCCCCAGTATGAGTTCTTTCATGTATAACCAGATGTTCTTTCCTCGAAAATGAATTTAAACAAATATTGCAAGCATATGGTTTCTTACCGTCGTGCGTTCTTGTATGTCTATCCAGATGTTCTTCCCTCGAAAATGAATTTCCACAAACGTCGCAAGCATATGGTTTCTCTCCAGCGTGCATTATTTTATGTATAACCAAATTTCCTTTTTGCGAAAATGATAGGTCACAAAGGTTGCAAGCATAGGGTTTCTCTCCAGTGTGCTTTCTTCTATGTATAACCAAATTTCCTTTTTGCGAAAATGATCGGTCACAAACATTGCAAGAATATGGTTTCTCCCCGGTGTGTGTTCTTTTATGTCGTGTCAAATTTCCTGAATTCGGAAATGATAGGCCACAAACCTTGCAAGCATATGGTTTCTCCCCAGTGTGCGTTCTTTTATGTACACATAAATCATATTTTCTGATAAACGTTTTCATGCAAACGTTGCACTTAAGAGATTTTTCAGACATAACCATGTCGGTCATATTCTGATATTCCGACGTATGATCGTCCCGAGAATGAAAAAGTTCTAATTTCTTTCCACAATCTTCGCCAATATAATTATTACTATATTATAGTATATATAATATAGTAATATACGCCTATCAAAGAAGAAATCAAAAATATACATTAGATATTCTCAAATTACATACACGGAATAGTACAATACATGGTACAGTTAAGAAAACTTCTTAAAAGTTATGAATTTTTAACAACAAAGTAATTTACAAATTTTAATCAGTAAAAAAACTTTTTAAAAGTGTGAACTTTAAACACTATAAAAAAGAAATTGTGATTATTTTGGTATATTGTATTAATAAGCAGTAAGTTTATCATATAGAATTTCAAATATCTATAGACAGCACAAAGTATAGACAATTCGAATTTACATATTTCCCAAAAAGTTCCAAAAGATTCAAATTTCCTACCACAAAACACAAAGATGAAAATTTTTACTATACCAAAAAAGTGACAGGTGTAAATAACCATATTAAATTTGATCAGAATCAATAAAGATCTATAGACTAATGTAGTAGTTTAAAATAAAGTCGTCTTTATTAAAAGTTTTGGAAATAATAAGTACGAATAATAATAATAGATAAATGTATAACTATTAATGGGTTTAAACCTTGGTACTAATTACTATTGACAAAATAACAAATACTTTGCATCGATCAAAGCACTTTTTCAATTTAAGGAAACTATTAGGAATAAAATATTAAATTTTAGATTCTGAGCGGAGAGATGAATGTATTGATTTTACAATGTGTTTTAACTTATAAGTAATAACACATAAATATAATATAAAACATCGACACTGAAAAACCATCACCGGGCACATTACTCAGAATCGTTACCTAATGATATTATATCATTGAATTCAAATTTAATACCATCCATTTTTACAGTGACCCACTTGTAACCTACTGTACAGCAGAGCGACAACCACTTCCCAAATTATTTTATATTAAATAAATTAAAAATTATTAACAATTTAAAAATATTGAATATATGCTATGAAAGCTGCAAAATGAACTCCTTTATCAAAACAAAAATGTTTACATATTTAAAACAAAAATCACTAGAAGTACTTTCATTTTTGTTGGTCGTAGGGTAGTTTTGATGACAAATTGGTAGGGATAGCAGGGTCCTTAATGTTCTAATGTATAAAAAAAGTAATAAAATATTAAAAAGCTAATACAAACCTTAATAGCTTTTTTCTGTTTCCTCTTTTTATTTGTTAATAACTTTTTAACTCTACAAAAGAATAGACCAATTAATTTTTTAACACTGCAATAATACAATTATTTAAAATATATAATTAGATAAGTAGATGTATCCATTATACATGTATACACAAATGAGAATTTTAGTCAAAAATGATTTACTAATTTTACTCAATTTTCATACTCACAATACAAGGTCCTCCTCTTCATGGACTTTTGAAATTCTTGAATTATAAGTAGAGTTGATCTTATCAGAATCTGTGTAAATAAAAACAATGGAACATAATTTCAACACAACATAATACATTTATGAATGTATTGATATAACAATATGACATTGTTTGTTTGTTTTTTGTCTATCTATCTGTCTTACTTTTTATGCAGTGAAAATGCTCCAATTTTCTACTTCAGCATTTTGTTTGATATACCAAAAATTACATTTATCTATGAGCGTTTAAATTATATATTTTAACTATAAACAAATGAATTCCCATCAATTGATTTTTGATAATTTGTTGTAATTTAAAAATGAATAACCATAAAGACTTGGACATTTTCACTAAAGATTATACTAGTACTTTCCATATGTGATAACATTTTCAAAATATATTGATACTTTTTGAGCTATAAACAGTATAAACATAAAAATATTCGATTGATATTTAAATGAAGAATAACGATTTTAGTTAATTTGTTGTAATTTCAAATTATAAAAAGTGGGTATTTGTCTCTTTTAAGGTGCATATATGTATATACGATATATAATGAAATTTTTTTGGAAAAAAAAATTCAACACTACTAGTATAAATTAATATTATGGTTATAATCAGGGCTGTGAATTTAATGCATTTGCATGATTTTTTTGCTATACTGTATACTAAAATGGATTTGGCCATGGCCAAAATTTGTTATGACTTACTTATAGTTCAAATACCAAATCTTATTTTGCATATTTTTGCATACTTCATGGGCATATAAATGCATGTTTTAATGATTTTTTTTGTATAAATGCTTTTTTTCGTAATATTTACATTTTTTTGTTCAATCTATTCCAAATTGATATTAAATTATTAAATTTATTTATATAACCTATGACTTGTATAGTTTCATCGAAACTATTCTACTTTTACTCTGGTATTTAACGTGTATTATTGGCTATTGTACTATTGAAGTCGAGATTAAACAGCTCTCAACAAAAACAAAGGATTCCAAATGATGTGTAATATTTCAAAAGTA